CCACACTTTTCTTTGAAATCGCTTTATTAGTTCTCGTGCAATAAGCGTTTTTGTGAAGCTCTAAAAATTACAACTACAACATTTGAACATAGCCCCCATACCTTAAGGTAAGACGTATTCTACGTCAAAACGACCGAAAATTTAATCAGTAAACCGTATATTTTTTAATTTTCGAATACTATGTTTCCGCACATTATGCTAGCTGGGTTCATGCTTCATACAGACAGCTAAAATATAAGAGTTCTGTTGTTTTGTTTATAAAATGTTAACAGCAATGTTGTCAGTCTATCATTCTTAGTGTATCTACATACAAACATATGTATGTAAGTATATGAGCTGCAAATTATTAAATGACAACAAAATGAAGTGACGATCACCGAAACATCAATTTGTATATACGAAATGACTAAGTGACAAATTGACATGGTTAATATGTTTGGTTTAAATGTGTTAAATTTGGTGATATAAACAGCTGAGTAAGACAAATTATTTAGTGGCACTCAAGTGGCAGTAGAACATCATAGTCTATAAAATAGTAGACCCAGGAGACCCCAGTGCAGAAGACGACTAGAAAACCTCCAACTTTATTGCTTAACGCACAACCTCTACGTGTGACCTCAGACAATGCAATTATCGTTACGGGGCTGTTCGAATTGAAATGCTCAGAGTGATGGCGAATTTCAGGGAGACCTTCATCAGCAACAAACGCTGGACTAGAAGAACGAAATGATGAACGATATGTTAGTTAAATTAGGTTTGTTGGAAAGGTAAATTAATTTTCACACGCTTGTGCAATGTAGTTCAGCATACAACGGTGGGGTCTACTGTAACTAGGCTAATACACTGAGCAGTAGTTTAGTTACGTCAACTAAATATATAGACTTCAAAGCCCATTATCTTAAGAAGTATCAATGTTAGCGATTTTATATTCCGAAAAATTCAATTTCCACCAGTTTGTCATTTACAATTTTTCTATAGATCCTTTTATCTACGAGTTAGGGGCAAAACAAACGACAATTTCATAAAAAAAATTGGGTTTAGCGACTCGTGCTAACTCGCGGGTGAGAGTTATTGTTCCGCAACGATGGTCACTTTCGTAGAACATTCAATTCTGAAGAAACTCTATCATTGACCAAGATTATACCATAAAATGCCTCTGAGCTATAGAATTTTGAAACAATCACTATTTAGGTATTTCCCACAAAATTTCGATGTGGAAGTCAACAAAAAAAATATATATATAAATAAAAAAAAGCCGCTGAAAAAAAGGACCCTACTATTTAGAGTTATCAAATCTTCTTTTGAGGGAAATACATTTATTTGACGTAACTGTAAAATTTTCTCTCTCTGTGCTATGTGTATAATACACACTATTTGTCGCTTTAAGGCTCGTCTTAAATAAAGGTATTAAAAAACTCCATACCGTCTTGCCCCGCGGACAAAACTCTTTTAAGCTTTCTTTATATTTTGCTTAAAAGCGTGTAGAGTAAAAACTCTCTCTGCCCATCGCTGGTCATTTCTGTTCCAAAACGGGGACGACCAGAGAGTGCTGTTACTCTCCGCGCTTGCATCTAAATTCTGTTGAAAGCTTTGAAAGGCTTCTGATGTAGATGTTTTGATCCATATTAACTAAAAATAGCAACAATCAGATAAAGCATTTATTCTATGCCTTTTGCATGAAATCTTTAGAAAGCATTAAAATGCGCCCGACTAATCTAAAGCTTTAAAAAAGCTTATGATATACATTTGTACACTAGTAGATATGCCAGCCCCTACATAATCTACAGAAAGCCTCTTCAGTGGGAAAAATTTTGGTTGTGACATATTCAAAACAGTGAGTATCAGAGAGAGCTTTTGCTCTCTGAATTTCATATATCTATAGAAAGCTTCAAAACCCCTTCCCGCAGGAAAAAAAATTTAATAACACAGATACATATCTGAAAAAGTGAAGAAATGCATTTTAATATTGAACTTACCAACATTTTCAATAAGTACAGGATTACCATAAGTAACTGAAAGTTCGAGTATTTGCATATAGTTGGGATCACTTTGCTTGATTACACGCAAAAAGTTATCCTTTTCCATATTCTTAATCCACTTATTGGCTTGCACTTGTGAAAATGAAGAAACGACAAACAATTTTTGTTAAAGAAGTAGTACATAAAACAAATAAAAATAACCAATAATTAGTGTCACAATTTTGCAAGGATTTACGACAGTTCAGTGCTCCCTAAAATTTAGCCACTGAACTACAAAAACTACTGCAATAAATTACATATGTACACTGCTTAATCAACTCACCTTGTGGATCTATCATTAGCGGATATCGATTTGAGTTAGCTACAATAATGCCATTTTCAACAGAAAAATTATCAGCCGGCAAACCTGCTAATGACCAAGCGCGTATTTGCATTGGATTGCCCAATGTGTTGGCCAATGAAAATTTCTCGGAACAGGGAATTTTTTTGCGAACACATAACTCATTCCAATCGTCCAAAATTTGCGCTCGATACTGCAACAAAAAACCAAAAACAAGACCATATTTATTATTGATGACTTTGTACTTATGTATGTATGGTATGTGTGTATGTATTTAACAATGGATAAACTCAAATATATGTATGCATGTACATATACAGTTTGCAAACGATATCGATATGCAAAGAATTGATGAGTTACAATGGCGAGTTTTAAGCAGACATTAATTTATGCATTCCTATACTATAGTACAGGAATATGTAGGAGTTTGAGAAGTAAACTATTTCACTGTTGGCTCTTGACCTCATGTGGATGGTAATTAGTGCACTTATCAATTGGAAATGATTTTCTAACTATTTATGTAGTATGTTGCAAACTTCATGCCACATTTGTGGAAAATTATTGTATTGATCGTGTGCAACGAGTGCCATGCATTAATCAGCACTTCTAATCGACTCTTTGTATAATCATTTTCACATTTTGATTTCAAAATTTTATGCCGCTTTGTTTTTGATATGTTAATACATATTTACATAAGTAAGCTGAGAAGCCTACACATACTTAGCTATATATTTGTATACATACCTAAATATGTACATACATACATATGTATGTACTAGGGATGTTAATTTTTCAGCATTTTCCGATCCCGGGATTTTCGGGATGTCGTTATCACAAACCAGGGATCCGGGGATTTGTGCGGGGATTTAGATATTCATTACTTTTCAACAACTTAAATCGAAAATTGGTTTCTATATTGTTTGAGAAGCTCTCCTACCATAAAATAAATAATAAATAAATAAATTTAAAACCTACTCTTTTATTTAAAGTGGCGTTTTTATTTTTGCTCTGCCACTTCCGGATTTACTTTAAAGGACTTTGTAATTTCAAAGATATGATTAATTCCAAAAATTATTTAAAAATTCAATGCAATGTAGAATAAAAATATGGGTACCAAATGCAAGAGGAAATTTCTTGAGAATTAAAAAAAATAAAAGTTTTTAGATTCACAAGCACGAATAGGTAATTTTTTAAGCTGATAAAGTTAGAAGGACGAAGTTCGAAGGTGTCATCGAGTTTGTATAAGTTCTTAACCTATAATTTTTTTCAAAAACAAATATTGCGAAATTTCAAGGATACAATTTTAAAAGGACATTTTCAATACTTTACAGTCCTTCTGTTTAAATTCTACAGGATTTCCTCATTAATTTTATACCCATACGTCTTCTCTAAGCACATTTCTCTGAATTTTTGAAATAATTTTTGATTTACTGACGTCAGAGTGGAAAACTAAAAACGCAGTTTTACTATACATATGTGGCCCATGGTTTCGCGAATATATTGATATTTATGTTTAAAATTTACTAACGCGCGGTTTTATATGCATACTCAGCTAGACATTTATAAAAAATATTAATTATTAAATAAAAAAATAAATATAGCCAATACTGGTCAAGAAAAGGGGTTTCTATTATTGCCATCAGTGCAAATTTCAAATCCCGAAAATCCCGGGATTATTGGCAAAATTTTTTTTTTTGGGACCCCGGGATTAACATTCCTAGTACATGCATATGTATAAGCTTGTATAGTTTTTAGAATTTCGCTGATTAACCAAATATTTTTTTTACCATAAATTCTTTCCTAATTGAGGTATAATTAGCGCAAATATTCCACTAATTACATATACAGGTAGATATCAACATACATATATGTATATACGCATAACCGAGTTAATATTTTCATTCATTTAAATTTTAGACAATATGTACTTTATTATTAAATTAAATAAATATGTTTACTTAAAAACATATATATTTTTAATAAAACAAGGTTTTTGGCTGGTTGATTATTGTCCCTATTGAATTGTTTGAATTTATAAACCAAACAGATTTTTTGCTGTAACAGATACACACATACATATTTATACTATAAACATATACACAGAGCTAAAGTGTTATTGCACATTTTTAGATTTATTTTTAGTCATTGCGTTCACAGCTGACATTTATTTTTAAATTTTTGCACCTTTCTAATTTTAATATCCGTTCCAGATATACATATGTACATACATACTTATGAACATTTATGCACATGCATATTTTATCAATTAGTTTTGCTTAGTAAATATTGTTCGGACATAAATTTTATACGTGTCTGCGCATATAAACAACAACTTTTAACCCATCCGACACTTTTGTCAAATTGAAAAAAAATAAATAAATACATATTCATACATACATATGTACATAAATACATACATATGTATGTTCAATAGGGTAGTCCAAAGAAATTTTAAAATATTAAGCTCTCACCGCCAAGGATTTTTTTGTTCAAAAAAATTATATTTAGAACTGCCTCAAAGTCCATGAAGTTTTCTATGTATTTTATGTCATAATTTTTCGATCGAAAAACTCTGTTTCTCTTCAAGAGTCTCCCAATAATAATTACCAATTGTTTACTTTACTATTTTTTAATACTAACGATTTTTTAAGGAACCCCAATTGCATTGATTGGGGTTTTTGGGGGACCCCTTAATATCAGAAAATGGTTAAATAACCATTACTACGAAAAAGTTTTTTTCACGGGCTTTGAGGCAGCTCTAAATACTACTTTTTTCACAAAAAAAGGGTATTTTTTTTTTTAATTTAGAAAAATACCCAGCGGTTAGAGCTTCACATTTTAAGTTTTTTCTACTTGTATTTTTGTACCACCCTAATGTACATACACAAAATATTATACTATGTAGTTTAGATATATTTTTAAATACCTAAATAAATAAATATATTTTCTAGCGCGTTTTTTTTGCTAGCGAACTGTCTGCGTAAAGTTAAAAAATTTATAAACGATTTTTGAGCATGCAAAAGCCGCGTCGAGAGTGATTAATTTCGGCGATAGTTGTAGTTGAAAGTTTAATTTTTATTTTGTCTTTTTTGCAGCTATTGAAAATGCTAATAGCGCGTTAGGCGAGCAGTTTAAACGAGAGGCTTTAATGACGGCGGCAGGTGGATAGTGAATATTTTAAAAAGCTGTGACTTTTTTTGCTGATTACACCGTGCGACAGTAAATTTTACAAACACAAAAATCAATAGTTATATTCGCGAAAATGGGGGGAAAAATAGTAGAACTACGTTTCCTCTTAAAAGGACTTTAAAATTAATAAAAAAAAATTACTTACAAAGCTCAGTGCAATGTAGAATAACAATATGAGCATTATATATTTAAAAGAGCAAATCCTATAGAATTTAAAAAAGTAAATTTTTTGATGCATAAGAACGAAAAGGTACTGAAAAAGTTGTTTTTTAATTTTATCCTCGAATAACTCTGAAAGTTTGCAATATGAATGTTTGAAAATTTGAAATTTTTATGTTAAGGACTAATGTACACACGACCACTAACTTTAATAGCTCAAAAAAATTAAATTAATTAAAAGGACATTTTCAATACCTATTCATCCGTGCGAACTAAAAGACTTATATTTTTTTCAAATCTACAGATTTTTTTAAGTGGTACCCATATTATTCCATATTGCACTTAATTTTTTGAACAAATCATATTTTTTAAATTTAAAAGTCCTAGCTAACTGAGAAACTAAAAACGCAGTATCATTATATATGGCCCATAGTTTCGTGAGGTTTGAATTTTATTTATTTTTTGGTTTTTGTAGCACGGTGTTACATATGTATGTATGTATGTATGTATGTACCACCACACTGATGTGCTTTAAAAGACCAATTAAATATATGCTGGTAGACTAGTAGCGCTCAATACAATATCTCGATACGACTCGTAATCCCCGAACCAGTAAATATCTTCTGAGTCATTTGCGAAGCCAAGAAAAGCTGAATTTTTATGCTTCGCTGATTTAAAACAACCCGCTTACCTCGGTGGGGAAGAATCCTAAATAAGCCACAGCGCCACCAGCTAACAAAACATCACCGACAATATTGCTAATAGATTTGTGTAAATTGTTGGCTGCATCAGACCAGCGTGTCTTCTCACCACCCAAGCCACCGAGTAGCTTCTCAGCGCTGAAATAGAGAGAGAGAGATAAATAATGGAATATTAATATACATCTTAAATATCAGTTAAAAGCTCGACGCTTACCGATTCAACTTCTTTTCACAATTATCGATTTCATCTTCAAGCCTCTTCTTCTCACGTGATTTTTCTGCGAAGAAGTCATTCAATTTTTGCAGCTTATCCAGAATTACTTGCAATTCAGCACGCTTTGCGTTTAATTTTTCCATTTGCGATGCCAAATCTGCTTCAGCTTCGGCGAGTGCCTGTTGCTTGGGTTGCACAATTTTCGCCACACGATCGTAGACATCCATGGCACGCACCCACTTACAAAGACCCTCACAAGCAGTTGAGGCGCTTTTGATTTTCTCTGGCACGAAATCGCGATCGGGGATGTATCTGTCGGTGGGAGAGTTGATTTGATGAGTTGAGGTGAGAAATTATTTGAAGTTTTTACATAATATTGAGTTATACGAATATTTTTACTAAAATGCTAGTGAAAAATTTATATGTTATTATACGGAGTGGCCTAGATCGCCCCTGCATCCCCACTAAAGTTCAGGCAAAAGTTTTTTTTATTGAAAAACGAAAAAATTTTCGACCGGAAGTGGACGCGTGAGATTCTTCACGAGACTTACGTCTTAAAGAGCATGCCGAAGGTGGGTTTGGTTATAAACACCCATAGTGTGAAGCATAGAAGCGTGGCCGCCGAATCCGCCGATCTTTCCATAGCGCCATACTTTTTAGCCTAGCGCTTTGTACCTTTTCGAAACAATGTGTATTTAATTTCTCAAAAGGTGGATTTAGCAACTTTTCACTCTATGATGGCTACATTTAATTCTCTAAAAAGTATAGAAACACGATTTCATGTAAGGTAAAATATTTATCATGTGATCTGGCGATATGATGCAGTGCGATGTAGGTATGCAAAATCGGAAAAAATAAACGACGAGGCACGTAAACTTTACCGCTTTTCCAGATCAGGTAATTTTTGCAAAATATTTTAATTTTAAGTTTGCGTTGCGAGTGAAGAAAAATTCAAACTCTAACGTGGAAAATGTTACTCATACGCCATGTACGAGTACGGCCACGTACGATATGGCGTATGAGTAACATTCTTCCTGCTTCTATTTCATTAAAAAAAAAAATGATTGCAAATTTTCATTTGACCATTCAAAAGTTGTTCATTTATCCAGCGATTTTCAAGGTTGAGTTTTGGCAAAAGGAGAGGTTTTAATAAAAAAAAAATAATAAAAAAAATTGTGTTATTATTTGAATTTTTTTTTTGTTAAAGTTTGATTTTTTAATAAAAAATAAAATATCTTGGGAAAATGCCCTGATCTGGAAAAATAGTATACAGATCCATAATCTACGATCCAAAATTAAGTTTACGTGCCTCGGCGTTTTTTTGTGTCAATTCGCAACTTGTAATCGGTTCAATGCAAAAACAAAAATAAAACAAATTAACACTACTCGCACTCACTTTTCTCGAATTTTCTTTATATTCGCCGGTGGTATATTATCTTTGTCGAATGTTTTCAACGACTCAAGAAATTTCATATCGCCTATCATGCGCATCGATGGTCCCCAGAAGTCCTCCACCATACGTCCGCTAGCATCTGGCTTACGATCCGGTTTGAAACCTCTCAATACACAAACTGCCTCCAGCGTTAACTTCACCGCGTACGGTGGATTCTTCATCGATTTAACAATGAAAATATCAGCTGGCTTGAGTGTGTTCAATGCGTCCAATGCTGCCTCTAGTGCAGGAATCGCCTCAGCCAAATCACTTTCGCAATCGTCTTTAATCGCTTGTGCTGCGGCAGCTGCTTCATTGGCCGCCGCCTCATCGGCGCCAACAACCTCCTTCTTTTTCTCAGCCTCCGCCGTCTCGCGTTCAATATTCACCATAATGCGCTCAGTCTCCTCGGACAGCACTTTCAGTTTGGGTTGCAAATCATAGAGATTCGCCTGCATTTCACCGACTTGACTAGCGGCAAAGTCTAGCTTTTCCAAGCCAGTGGTGTAGCTGCATTTTAGACATATTTAGTTAGCAAAAAAAAAAAATAAAGTAAAAAAAATAGTAAAACACCGCAGCAATTGTAAGCGCCTCCACTCACCGATCTCTCAGTTTGGTAATTTCATCCAATTTCCGTACATAGAAAATTTTAAAAGATTTCAACATCTCCAAATACGATGATGGCGTCACATAATTACGTCGTCCCAATTCCAAATAGCAACTGCAGTTTTATGTGTGAGATAATGTGAATTGAAATTTAGTGTGTGTATATCTTATTCGTTATTTCGGTTCATACTAGTCTGTCTTATCACTTTATTCTGTTTGTAGAACTGATTAATGCTTACTTACCGTTCGCTCGCATCAAAGACGGATTTATTGAAATGCATGACAATTTGTACCAGCTCCAATTCCAATTCACTGAGCACAATTTCCTCCATTTCATCGCTTTTCTTGGTAGTATCTGACTCTGCGGTATCTACAGATGCTCGTTCAGCGGCGGCTGCGCCAGACTCAGCATGCTCCTGTGCCTGACCCAATTTCATTGAACTGATAAAATATTCAGCAACACGCTCCAAGGCATCAACCGGCCAAGGCATGAACCTGAAAATCGGCAAGCAATGCAGATATAGACAAACAGACGGGCGCTTACGTATATACTAGTATGTGCAGCTTAGAAACATTACCACATACTACATTCATGCTTATACATATATGTATGTTTGTACATTAGATCGCACCAGAAAAAAAGTTAGCCATACATACTAGAGTCTAGAATATTTTTGCAAAGGAAACTCTATAAAAAATCTAAAATTTTTGTTGGCCGAACGTACATACTACATAGGTGTCGCCTTTAAAAATTTTTCACAATATCATCGGCATTTACAGTCGGATCTTAAAGTATAATATATCGGTGTTCTGGCCTCGAGGCGACAATTTTTTGTTGCAAAGTTCATTCATCCCAAGTACCCTGTTCTAGTTTCTACTTATTCATCAGATCTCAGTGCTTTTCACCCTAAAGTTTCACCCTAAGGTCAGTAATTTAAAGGTATCCAGCAATCATTATATTTTTGTCAAGAAGGTGTTTCCATTATTCCAGTAGAACTATTTTAAAATAAATTCCCGAATGTAGATGTCATCGAAAAATGTTAAAAGGTGACCCCTAGTTTGGATGTTTTTTTTTGCAACATTGATTTGGAAAAATAGTTTAGACTCAGAGGTGTTAGCGAACTTTTTTTGACGTAGAATACGTCTTACCTTAAGGTATGGGGGCTATGTTCAAATGCTGTAGTTGTAATTTTTAGAGCTTCACAAAAACGCTTATTGCACGAGAACTAATAAAGCGATTTCAAAGAAAAGTGTGGCGTTTCAAAGATAAAATTCCAAACCTGTCGNGCTTTCGATATTTTTTCGATTTTGATATCAATATTTTCATCGATTTCTTTATCGATGTTTTTATCGATTTTGCTACCGATATTATTATCGCTTTTGTTATCGATATTTTTTGCTTAGTGTGTGCTTTTGTTTTTTTACTTGGATATGCTCTTAACCATACCACGTATTCTACGTTTAAATTTAGCGGCTGTATCTCCGATACAGCCTGCAGACCAAGACGAAGGCGCTGGACTGTTTCTTTTTTGTTTGCTTCAAAGGTGGTACGGTCTAATGTACATACACAAATTGTATTTTTACACTCATTTGTCCCACGTCCTCTAAAATACTTATTTTGTAGTACTTACACAATCATATGTACATACATACATATAATAAATACTCAAACGCTCTGCCAGCTAATGACTAAACTATTGAAGCGTCTATATGCATACGTACATACGTACATATGTATGTATGTAGTAGTAATGTAAAATGTTAATTTTAGTGACCTTTTAGTGCTGTACATTGACATGTCTAAATGAGGGACAGTAGAATTGTATAAATAATTATCATTAGATAAATAAATGAAAGTGTGAAATCGTTAATTTCAAAATAAATTGGAGCGTTCAATTAAATATTTGCAATGGCGCGAAATTGTTGTTGTTTGCCAAAATGAAACTGTCAGAGAGACATTTTACATTTAAAGCTTTAGTCTCCTAATTTGGTGAGTTAACCGATATAGCAAGAAGTATGATTTTGACAAGAGCGTAGGTTGTTAGAGCTGTCATTCAGTGGGATTTAAATCGGAGTGACAGTTAGGTAAAAAATGCATCTATGGTACCATATTGGTAATCATATTTATGCTCATTTGCTTTACTTATTTTTTTTTATTCAATGCACAATAGATTAAATGAAAATTTTTTCTGCGCAAAATTAAAGAGAGCTTGAAAACCATACTGTTTGAACCAAATACTTTAAGAAAAGGGTAAAGGCAACTGTTCACGACTAACAATTTTGTTTAATCCTTTAACGACCTATAATGGAAGCATAGACTTTTTTACTCCACTACTTAGCATTCCATTTAATTTCTTTTGTTATTTTTTATGTACAAACATTGGCTCCTTAGAAAATGCATTATTGATTAAAAAAAACGCAAAAATCGCAGTTTTAAAATGATTCGTATTTTTTGTATGGAATATGAAAATCACTATCTGGGTTTCAGTATGCGGTATCTGTGCGAGAAACTGTGATCGCTTACGCGTTTACAATTTTTTTAAATCAGTTTCATAAATAATTCCACTCTTGGTGCTAGACTTCTAATGGATTTTAGTCTTTGAAAAGTCCAATAATTTCCGCATTACATGGTTGCGTTAACAACTTAACATATACATACATACAGAGTATTTTCCCCTCTTGTCTAAAGTTTGTCAAGCAAATATGTCTTTCACAATCCATAAAATCGCCACGAATTCCTTTCCTTACACCTCTACTGCTGCAGAACTGTGTAGCTCCAATTCATGCTTCTTTAAACGTTTGAGCTTATGTTTCATTTTATTCTACACACAAGGGAAGATCGATAGCATACCTCACCATTGGTGTGTGATACCTCTTCAACTGAGTGACAGTTTTTTGAAATTCTGCAAACCTTTGCAGCAGACCAGATAAGTGCAATACACTGATACAAGTGCATACATATGTATGTGTGCTCCTACCAACACCCACACATTTATATGCAGACTGCATATCCATACACTTGTATGTCTGTAAATGCTGGCATTTTGTTGTACAACATATTTTTGTAAAAAGAAGTTTACGCCAAAAACATTTCCTTATCCTGCAGGATACAGCATTTATTCTGGTTCAACAAGTTTAATACAGATATGTATATGAATGTATGTATATTAGAGTATGTATTTGAACATGTTGGAGAAATTTCCTATCCACTAAACGCTTGCTACATATAATTTCTACGAACTCGATTTTGTTAACATTTTTGGCGACATTTATATATTTTTGGTTTTAATAGGAGGGTGCTCGATTTAACAGCCGTAAATTTTGTGGTTTTTTTCACACAGATTTTTTTCAGCCAGATGATGAAAAGCACATTTCTTTTACTGGATAGAAAATAAGAAACTATGTAGAAAATAAATACATATAGTATTTTTCGGCAGCTTTTAATTAGTTTAGTCGGCACATAATAATTCAATAAGATTCGCTTTAGAGCTGAATATTTAATGAAGTGCTTCGGGATTTTTCGGAACTTCTTAAGATTTCTCCGAAAGTTTGCATAATTCTTCGGATCCATTCGTGCTTAACTTTCTTGATTTTTAAAGAACTTTGGATATTTTTTTGACTTTATTTTTTCGTGGCACTTCAAGATGATTTGTTCCAAATTTTTCCCAGAATTTCGATACTTTTTTGTATTACTGGATTTTCGGTACTCTCTCGGGAATATTTCACGACGATGACGGGCCTTTATCGGGATTACTTTTGTATATTTACACTATTAAGTTAAGGATAAAGAGCAAGTTATTTAGTACGCGATATTTCGTTAGGTAAAACTAACTAAATGGCCGAGGTTCTCCTCAATTTTTTGGTGTCAAATGGATTTTGTGAGCAGCATTTTCAAGGCAGAAATTTACTAGGAGGTTTGTCATTGTCCGTCGATGGTCGATCGTTAAAAAAAAACCTTTTTCAATAATTATTTTTTGATGTTGCTTTCGCTAGGGATTAGACCTTAATGCGACGGAATTGTAGTACACACAACTAATCACTCGACTACAGCAGCCGCCGTGAAGGAGAAGCATGGCCAAACCTTTTGAAAAAAGTTGTTGTTTATATTGTTATTCGGCCACGTTCCGGTTGTCGTTCCTTATCGTATTCCTATTCTTATTCATGCTCGTATTCCTTTTCGTATTCGCAGTCTAATTTCTGTGTGTATTTTACTCGCATAAGTATTCGTATTCGTACCCCTGTTCCTCTTTTCATTCGTATATGTTTTAATTGTTGTAATTATATTTGTATTAGTATTCGTATTCGCATTCCTAATTGTTCTCACATTCGTTTTCATATTTGAATTCATATTCTTATTCGTATTTATATTCGAATTTGTTTTCGTATTGGTATTAATATTCGTACTTGTATTCGCATTTATATACGAATTCGTATATGTTCTCATATTTATAGCTAAAGCTGTTGTTCCATATTTTAATTCATATAAATACTTACTCGTATTCATATTCCTATTTGTATTCGTATTGGTATTGATATTCGTATTCCTAACCGTAATCGGTTTAGTTTTCATATTTGCTCACAAAATCAGTACATCACAAACTTAACAGTGTAAAACCTAAGCTAATAAATAATAGGTGTTCAAAATAAAAAATCGGTTTTCGGAAACCAAGACGACTACCCTAATTTGAATGTGTGCGTAATAACAATCGAATAAAAAACTGTTACATAAAACCACTTACATACATACCTACATTTTTAAATGCATCCATGCACTTACATTGAATAGATGTACATACTATGTATTACTGTTGTAATCGTTCACACTTACCAGTCAATCGTGCAACAGTTTATCAGTGATGGATACATTCTTAAACGCTCCTTAAAGGAATCGCCAATCGGTGAAAATGCCAATGCTATATGCAGCTGTTCACGTATCCTTTCGATAAAGTATGCATACATCTCTGAGGGGGAATTATCAATTTGTCTCGCCTGTGCGTCAGTTAGCCCGCATTTGAGTCAAAAATTGCCCAAAGCGCAGAGGGCGAATCAATTGTTGTTGTTGTTGCAATTGCAGTTGTAGTGTAGAATATATATGTATATAAAAGTAGATATGTATGTGCGATGGTAAATATTGTCGATTTCGTTGTGTGTATTTTATTTGCAGGAAATTATCATCAGCATCGACGTCAGTGACAGTTGCATACACAGATGGCCAGATGGCAGTTGGAGAAAGAGAGAGAGCGAACATTTTGCGGCAGTACGTGGTAAGTAGGAAGATGCATCATTCAATAATGCAGTTGAAATATGAATCGATTGTGTGAGTAGTTCGTTGAGAAAGGAGGATATACAGCAAAGCAGCACGGGAGCAAAGTAGCAGTGCAGCGGCGCATCATTCCAGCGGGGCAAGTTGAGTGGCAGGCANGTTGAAATATGAATCGATTGTGTGAGTAGTTCGTTGAGAAAGGAGGATATACAGCAAAGCAGCACGGGAGCAAAGTAGCAGTGCAGCGGCGCATCATTCCAGCGGGGCAAGTTGAGTGGCAGGCAGGCAGACAGGCAGAAATGCAGTGGTAGTGCAGTCAGGAAGATGTGCAAATGTAATTCCCACAGTGGTGTGAAGTGACANAGCAGGCAGGCCGACAGGCAGAAATGCAGTGGTAGTGCAGTCAGGAAGATGTGCAAATGTAATTCCCACAGTGGTGTGAAGTGACAATAGCAATGGAAATGGCAATGGCAGCAGCAGCAGCAGCAGTATGAAAATGGTATCGAAGACAGAAATTGAGGATGAAGCCAACAGAATTATAAAGCAGGTTAAAGGAAGTCGCATCGGAGCGGCCAAGCAAGTAACCGACATTTGTCATTCGATGGTCCGCAAACGACCGACATGGGAGTGGCATCAGGGCAGGAAGACGGAAATGAATGTGTTGCCGGAAATAAAGCAAACATAGTGCATGAAATAACAACTTGTTATTGTACTAAGTACATACATACATACATACATACAGTTTGTATAAGTAGTTATTGGTATTACTGTTATGGTTGTTGCTCTTGTTGTAGTTGTCAACCTTTGCTATTGTAATTGCTGTATTAACGGCAATTGTTTTTGCAGCTATTGCATTTATTGCGAAATCAAGTCGAGCTGTCGCTTATTATTGCAATAGCACTAAAATAATGATGTCTTTGCATACTATGAGTACATACATATTAAGTAGCAGCGTCGACAGCAACAAGACAAATTTTTATAGGCAAAAATAAAAATCAAGCAAAATGTTTGTAAATCATAAAATAGTTATTAAAATTTGAGTGTTTTGAAATGCATCTTTTTTTTATCAAGCAGTAACAGAGAATGCTTTCTATAAACGATAAATAGTTCGGTTAAAGGAAATGGAAGTTTGATGTTTATTTAAGCGAAATGAGCAAATCTCACGAGTTGTTTTTTTAGTATCACGCGAAAAAGTACCGAAATTACTCATTTTTTCATTGTCACTTGAAAAAATCATAATTGTTTTTTTTTTTAATAACTTTGGGAAGTCTCCAGATATAATGTTCATATTAGAGGCAATGAAAGTAGGCACCAAGTCCAACATATCTGTGAAGTTTTAAAAGTGTGCCACTAAATTAAAAAAAAAAAAAAAAATGGCAGCATGCAGAATATCTGTCACAGGCTATTTTGTAATTTTTGAAATTTAAAGATTTTTTAATTTAATAAAATTTAAGATATGTACTTCAAAATGTTACCATTAAATGGTGAAAATGTTCCTTTTACCAAAACGTACCAATATAGAATAATAACACCGGTCAACAAATTTTTTTTTTTTTGGGTTTTTGTTCTCATACTTAGATTCTCATTCCAAACATTAAAAAACACTTGAATTTTCATGTTTAGTTCTTAAAGTCTGCTTTTGTCTGATTTACGTCGATATGTATAAGAAAAACGAAAAATATTCACTTTTAGACTTTAAATTTCTTGTTATTTTACATTTATATGGTATTGTTTATCACAAATCTTAAATAAAAATACTGATATCCAGCAAAAATTTTTCTAATCGTAATTTAAAGTAAAATTATAAAAAAAATATAAAAATTAGTATCAGAAAAATAATCTAATTAAAATTTAGACCCAAAAATCGTCTTGACTGGTGTAATAGAAAATACTCTACGGGAATATTTAATTACTTTTTAGAACTGTTATCTGGCTGTAAATTGTTCTACGGGGCGTATACGTTACATGCACAACTACGGGTACATAAGCACGAGTTGTTATTTTGACTTTGTTGTAGTGTATTTTTTTTAAGTTTTCATTTAAATACAATTTCGCAATGAAATATTGTTCTTTATGCAAAACTAAATATAATGCATTGTCTGAGGTAAGTGTGCCACCATTTACGAGAAAAACCACGTTTTTGTCCAAAAATGTAATAACTTGTGAGATTTGCTCATATATAAGCATAACTGCTTTTAATTCTTTTGATGCTTCAAGAACTTTCTTGGAACAAAGTTTTGCAGGGCAATTCTGGCAACTGTCTTTAAATTCACCACAGGCTTTCGAAAGAAGAAAGTCTTTCCTAGGACAATTTTCTATTCTAGCAACTATCTTGAAAGGTATTTTCTGTCTTTCGCAAAACTAATTGAAAGTGCTACTAACGAGGTGGTCTTACCCTTTTTCTATTTGTCTTTTAGCAGTGCATGTGAAGACGAAATATCGGCAACAATCAATGTAATGAATAAATCTATACCAATTTATGTCTTATTTAATAACCGGCCTGAAGCTCAAAAATCAACGTATAAATTATAATAAGACGGCCAAACACAAAACACTCATCATTACTTGTTTTTAAAAAATATAATCTAAAAATAAAAAAAAAATATTAAAAATAAAATAAGTTCCTAAAAATTAAATGAAATGGAAAAAGAAAGGTGCTTCCTTCTAAGCCAATATATTTTAAAAACCTATGGAAAATAAAAAAAAAATATTAAAATAGAAGAAAAAATATAAGTTTTTAAAATTAAACAAAATAAAAATAAATTCTTTTTACAACAAAAAAAAATAAAATTAATGTAATAAAATTATAAAGGTTTCTAAAAATTAAAAAAAATTATGTATATGTATTTTAGATTTTTCTTTTGAAAACAATTAAATCTTAAAATAAAAGAAATTTAAATTAAAAACAAGGAAAATAAAAATTTTAATAAGAATCGATCTCGGATATCTTGAATGGCACGCGATTGCTTTGCTCACTACGTCATTGCGACTGTTCGAGCAGAGCGACCAAAATGTAATACAAGTGCGTTCCGTCAAAAGAGCTTTTCATCACGAAAGCTAACAAGGGAATTTTTTTTGTACGCTTCACTTGCCTTGGAGGGACGACTAGAAAGTGGTGGTTTTATTCGTCGAAAAACTTTAGGTGTTATAGCCCAAACTTGTTGAATAAAAAATTTGACAATTTTTGAAAGGGGGATTGTTGTTTTATTCCTCTCCATCATCGAGAAGAGCGGGATTGTCTGAAGCACTATTTCGTATTTGGAAACAAATGACAACAAACAAATTTCAAGTTTCAAAAATCGCGAAAAATTCATGCAAAACCCGCTTTTTTAATATGAAATTAATTGTAATTTAGTTAGTAGAATTATCCTGCCACAACTTCCCAATCATTACCCTCGCACCAATATTTTTCATACTATGTATGTGTGTATGTATGTATGTAAGTATATAAAAATAGATACATATACGTATGTGTATGTAAACTCACTACTCACCAATTGCTTTGCTAAGCTCATCATATTCTCCATAATTGCTGCTTTATCTTCCAGTTGATAGAGATTGGGCAAATCGCCAGTGTTAAGTATGCCATTAATGTCTTCTATGAAACCTTCGTCGATAGCCTGCAAGATAAAATAAGTACATTAACTAATGCAGAAATGACCGCCACCTTTTCTTCTATTTATTTTGTGTGAAAATTTCACGACTGTATCGATTAACAAAAGCTCATTAGAAGAAATGTGTCTTCATTTTCACTACGGGAGCTCTGCAAACTTTAAATCCGATTTTCTCGAGTTTTACATTCTTTCATATCGAAGGCAAGCACCTTAACGCGGTGGCAGGTCTTGGTATAGAAAACGTTGGCTTAGAGTGAATAACTAACTCAGAAGCGGTAGTACATCACCTTGAGCATCCAAAGCTGTGTGTTAGCATGGAACAGGAGACTAGGGATAATGCACTCAGCCTCCCAGTATGAAACTTTGCGAAATATGAACATATGGCAACCGAGAGTCACAATGATGATTGAACACTGAAGGCAGTGGTAACAAAGCTCGAGATAAAGGGGTGGTAGTGCTCTAATCCATATGACAACGAAGGTTTAGGCATGGAACTAGTGTGTGTCGTGGGCAGAGGACGCTTTGCGATTGCTGTAAAAGCCAAAAGATGAGGGACACAGCTACATAAATCCTCCAGGAAGTGTTAGGCCTGCTGTAGCCGGAGCTTGGTGAAATTTCGATGGTTACGGCAGCGTCTATCTTCGACTAAAGAATGCTCGAAGCAAGGGTAGCCAAGAATAGCCTAAATAAGTCATAAAAGCTTGGCAAACCTAAATAAGTGTAACGAATAAGATCAACTATGTGGTCAAACAGTAAATAAATAGTTTAGAGTGGACACCGCATAATTATTGAAGAATAGCCGCTCGTTTCGACGGACATTTTTGAGCTTCGATGCCACCGCTCCTTCTATTTATTTATAGCATTGAGTATCTGACGGAGGTTCGTCATAAAACGAGATAGATAAGTGGCTATTCTTCTGGCATCCTGCTACGTGGAGTACAGTGTTGCTGGCCAGCTAAAAAAGATATTCTGGTGCAGCGAAGAAAGCGCAAAGACTCGTCATCAAAGGCATGGATGCAAATGCACACCACTGTCTTTGGGGATGCAATCAAAGGTGAGTCTTTTTTCTGCTAGCTATCTTATAGCGACAACTTTCCCACCTACATTTATAAGGCCCTTGGTGAGTACCGTTCTTGATTTAACACTTTGTTTTCAGCCTGGGGTATCGGTGAGACAGTATAAGGTTCTTGGCATAATAATACCCAATTGTATATTTAACCATTTTTTCATACTAAACATTTTTTAGTTCTTGGGTTTTTGGCGGTTTTTGGAGGACCTATAAAAGATAATTACAATAAAAAAACTTCTTGCTTAAAAAATCTGTTCTTTATACTATTTTAATTAATTTTTTACCAGCACAAATGGAATTCTTATTTTTTTATTGACAAGGATTTACTTTTGCCCATCAGGATTTTATAATAAATTGTTAATTAAGTTGTTAACTAATCAGTCTAGTACACACACACACACACACACACAAACGAGAATTCTGAATCTCATTTCAATTTTCGGCCAACTACTAGCCAAAGGTGTCAAATTAGCATTTTGCAATTAAACTTCGCTTATAGCTTTCGGCATTTGTATTTGCTCGTAGTACAAAATGTGCTTCCAGCCATAAGTTTTCTAGATAACTGTACCCGTTTGGAAATTGCAAAAATGGTATACATATACATATGTAGTAGCCTCAAGCGTTTTGATTTGCATTGTTCTATTCCTCACAGATTCTGCTGCAAGTAGGCATAAAGTGCATTTTAGTTATAACTATTAACTAAAGTAGCAGCTTCGGATTAATTGACATTGATCAAAGATAGAAGAGTTATCAGAATATTATGTAAACGTATTCAATATGAATAAAGGCACAAAAGCGAGCACGTACAAGTTTACATACACATGCCATGTTAAGACCAAATAATTTGCTGTAGATGCGTATTCACTTGAAATTGCATAAATCTGTAACTGTCTACGAAACAACCGTAACGTAATAATTTTCTACTAAAGTCCATATACATATTTTTGTATGTATATATATGTAATACACATATAGGGCATTCCACGCCAAATCGGACACCATTTGCGTCTCCTATTTTTTTAATAGTGTTTTTTTTTTTTGTATGACATTACCAATTCAGAGAGGCCTTGTTCAGAGAGGCTTTTGTTCGGGACACACTTTTCTTAAAGACATCCATGAAAATTTCACAATTTTAAAATAATTTTTTAGCGGGTTTCAAAAAATTTAATTCAGAAAATATTGACATACATACATACATAGTATTGAAAATTATTCATATTAACTCGTAGTCATCGCAAATGCTTTTATCATGCAATATTAATCTCCATATACTCATTTGTTTGAGTTCTTTCGGAATAAGTGCAAAATTTCAAATAACACTGGTTTACAAATAATTATGTTCGAAACTACGAAGAAACTTATGAAAAATAAGAGAGTTAATATAGACTTTCTGTTAAATTTTAATTTATTTAAAAATTTTAAACGTTTTGTGGATGTCTTTAGTTTGTACGTAGAGCAAATAAGGGGTGAACCATACAAAGCTTTGATGTTGACATATTTAGGAGCCCCCGTACTGATCGATTTTATTGAAATTTTTTTCTATAAAACTTTCACACATTCCGCGCCTTTGGAGTCTAGTCCGATAATGGGATCTAAGTATTTTTTTGGATGTTTAAAATTCCATGTTTCAGCTATCAGTACTAAAAGTGAATAATAATTTTTCATTAGGTACACCAGTAATAGTTTTTATCATTTATGAAATGTTTTTTTTTTTTCAAAAATCGATAACTCGAAAACGGCGAAAAAATTAAAAAAAAAGATCTCTCTCAATAGCTACTTAATCAACATAAAGAATTATTAAAAAATCGGTAATGCAAAGACCAAATGGTGTCCGATTTGGCGTGAAATGCACCGTATCTATTTACATACATATTTACATTTATACATACATATACATATGTATATATGCACTGCCAGCATGCAGCTGCTAACAAATTTCTGCCTATTCAGTCACATAATTTCCGAATCAGTCATACAACTGTAAACAAGTGTTCTGCTTTTGGCAGACACTATTTAATCGCCTGTTCATCATACACCTTGTCATTATGTTTGCTGTCATATTTGCTTGTATTGTAATTGCATTGCAGTTAAGTGTTGCATTGTTACAGAAAGTCATGTACACTTTTGTTTTTGGTTTCTTGTAAATGGCATAAAACTGAAATTAATTTGACTATTACTTAAAACCTGAATAGCGGCAGTTTTGGGTTTGAGNACTTTTGTTTTTGGTTTCTTGTAAATGGCATAAAACCGAAATCAATTTGACTATTACTTAGAAATTGAATAGCGGCAGTTTTGGGTTTAATCTAAGAAAGTTCAGTGAATTTCCTCCGTTTAGCTTAGGCCGATTTTCAAGAGATTTAACCAGCCTCTCAGATGGCATAGATAAACCTTTAAGTGTGGTTTGGGTCTAAAAAAATGTCTCTGCCTGCCTGGAATAAAAATCATTACCGTTGCTAATTTTAAAGCTTTTACTAACCTAAGTATGCCTTAACAATGAGTATACCTCATGAGTATACTCTATGCGCTCTACATAGCGGGTTTTAATAACCACTTGGCCGTACTTCATCTGAGTTCAGAGGTCTTTAAACGATAATTTTGAGGGCTTCTTCGGCAACGATTTATTCAAATTTCGAAAAGATTTGAACGCAATAACTATTACCTAACTTCAAAATTTTGCAAATGCATTACTTAACATGACCTTCCATGTCTATGTTGCCCGGCTTGGGGCCATACTAGCTACTAGCTAGATGAGGGTATTTAGCTGTCAGTTGCGAGCTGCCACAACTCAATATTGCTTGTCTTACCATACTGCCATCGACACTCATTACCACATGACAACATAGTAGTTAGGAATAGCAAACGTACATAAACACATATGTACCCTGCAGCGAAACCGCGGACTAGTGAATCAAATTTCTAGTTCTGTACTAGATCTTTTTGTGGCCAAAAACGAACCAGTCCGATAGTGTCTAGATCCGCACCAGTCCAAAATCGGCGAAAGGTGAGTCTATTAAAAACTGTTTTTTTTCACTTTTTTCACTAGAAATCTATATCTAAAGTGACGAATTTAGAACTGGTTCCGAACTATCGAAAAAGCAATGCAGCGGGGTCTAGTTTACTTTGCATAGATAAGTGTTTGGCGACTTTTTCGTTCAAATACGCTTTTACTCCGCACTTCGCAGATGCTTTTTCATAGCTTGGTAATACAAAACCAATTTTCTGTTAACATTTTAACATCTTGGGACCGTCTGGAATCTAAGCAATAACAGCGAGCGCCTCTACAAACTCAGCTACAGCCAAAGGTATGTAAACGTACATTTCTTAAAATCATTCAAACAAATTAAATTTCAAATTGAAAACACATTTCTTTCAAAATAACTTAAAATCGCACACACGGAAGAACAAAAAAGATTGAAAATTATGATACCTTTTTCTTTCTTTAGAACTAGAGATTTTCCCTACGGGGTTTATGTGTATAACAAGTATTCTACCTGCATTCGATATGTAAAAACGTACCTATGTGCATATATACAACACATAGTACATATACATACATGCATTAGTGTAGACAAAGATGCATGCTTATGTTTATTAAGCATTCATATTTCAACAATAACTATCTCGTGTATTGTTCAAAGCTGTGTCGTACAGTTTAATTGATTTTGTTATAACATTTGTTACCAATGTCCATACATTTCCCCACAGCATTGGCACCAATTCCGAATTGTTACTATTTATTGTTCATATGTATGCACATGAATAGATAGAGGTTTACATGTAACGCCTACTGGCTTATAATTAATGTATTCCTAGTTGTTAGACTACATACTATGCGGCTTGTGTTTGAATGTATGTACATANTTTCCCCACAGCATTGGCACCAATTCCGAATTGTTACTATTTATTGTTCATATGTATGCACATGAATAGATAGAGG